AGATTGCCCACTTAAGCTGATTCTCTTCTTTGGGAATTATTATTAATTTATTACTTTGCTGCTGTGGTTTTGTTTGCATTTATTTACTGATTTTTGAATTCACTTTTGGAATTTTTTATAACATTTAGAGGAACAAAATTGGAATCTGACTGTTGTTTGGATTCATTGAGAATTACTCTATTAAAACTATTATTTCACTCAAGTTCTAATTTCCTTAGTTAACTTTACTATTATATAATGTTTGCTTTTTCTTGTTATAAAGATAATATATGTTCAATAATAAACATTTTTAGAAAATGCAGATACATAACACTTTTTTTAAAGATTTTATTTATTTATCTGACAGAGAAAGAGACAGTGAGAGAGGGAACACAAGCAGAGGGATTGGAAGAGGGAGAAGCAGGCTTCCCACCAAGCAGGGAGCCTGATGCGGGGTTCGATCCGAGGATCTTGGGATCATGACTTGAGCCGAAGACAGACCCTTAATGGACTGAGCCGCCCTGGTGCCCCTAAATAAAGCTAATTTAATGCTTAATCCCTCTATCCAGAGATAACTACTGTTAACTTAAAAAATATGTATATCTTGGGGTGCCTGGGTGGTTTAGTGGGTTAAAGCCTCTGCCTTTGGCTCAGGTCATAGTCTCAGGATCCCCCAGATCGAGCCCCATGTCAGGCTCTCTGCTCAGCGGGGAGCCTGCTTCCCTTCCTCTCTCTCTGCGTGCCTCTCTGCCTACTAGTGATCTCTGTCAAATAAATAAATAAAATCTTTAAAAAAATGTATATCTTCAGCTCTTTTTCTCCCATGTGTGAATTAGGCTTAATAGAAATTAGGTTACTGGGGCGCCTGGGTGGCTCAGTGGGTTAAGCCTCTGCCTTCAGCTCGGGTCGTGATCCTGGGGTCCTGGGATCGAGCCCCGCATCGGGCTCTCTGCTTGGTGGGGAGCCTGCTTCCCCCTCTCTCTCTGCCTGCCTCTCTGCCTACTTGTGATCGCTGTCTGTCAAATAAATAAATAAAATCTTAAAAAAAAAAAAAGAAAAAATAGAAATTAGGTTACTTATTGACAATCACACAGTAAGTGGTGAAGCCATGTTATGGAACAAGGCAAACTTATTCCAAAGCCTTTGCTCTTAAACATTACAGTTTATACTTTGCCTTATGGATCAAATCCTGGCCTTAGGAAGTCTTGGAAGATGTAGGATTGTGGCAGTTTGGAGCCAGCAACCAGGAGCTGAATGGAGGAGGTTGGCGACTATGAAACATTCTGTTGGGTCCCAAAGGGAGTGTTGTTCTTTAAGGGGTCTGCATCTCTTAGTTTTCCAAAGGTTCTACTCTGGTTGATGACTCATATCTTGTTGGCTCTGACATTCTACTGTTTTCCAAGTATCCTACAGAGTGGATTCATTGGGTTTAGTTTAGTTGTTGTTGCTCTGTTGAACTCTATAGAAAAACAAAACTCCCGTGGATTCTAATCTTGTAATTATCAACTTGGGTGTAGTTTTTTCCGTGAGGTTGAGCAAAGATAGAGGAGGTGCTGTGCATGCCATAGCCTTCTTCATTATCCTTCGGTTTGCTCATCTCCTTGGCATGCTCAGAGAAGTTTGCAAGGATCCAGAGAACTGAGTTACCATAACAGCTCTCTAAGATCAGCTTTAGGCAGTGCATTTCAGCAAAGAGCAAGCCGTGGAAGATCACAGGTATCTGAAGTCGCAGGTGATGGTCCAAATTCTTGGCTCCAACTATAAAATACTCATTTCCCCAACTCCTGTTCTCTGGGCTTTCTTGTTCTGAGGCCAGGCTGGTACTGTTTGCATAAAGTGCTGTTCCATTTGGAAACAGCTGTGCCTAGAAGCAGATGAGAGTCGGCGAAGTAGGGATCATAAGTCAGCAGAACTGTGCTAGAGAGGCATTTTCTGTTGCTGCTTTTGGTGGATGCTGACTAGAAAATCAGATTCTCTATAATCAACAGAACTTTACATTATGCATTTTAGAAGTTAAAATCTAAGCTCAGAGATCCTTAATGATTTACTACCCTGGACAAAAGCTGCAGCTCAGAGTCTGTCCTTTATGGCACAAATATTATGACCTCATCAAAACAAATGTTATCAGAATACTCCTTTTAAATAGTTTTTTTTTTTAATTGTAATGACTTATGATTGCAGGATCTGACTTTCTCCCTCTCTGCTGAATGTCACATGGTCTCATCTTCCCTGCTTCTTCCCTGCTTCCCTACGTCTTCCCTGCTTCCCTGCGACATAAGCTACTTCAGCATGCTGTTCACGAGACGCCTCTTGGTGGTGATCTTAGCTATACTCAGAGTCAAAAGGGACACTGCCATTACAATGTGTTAATAAACTGGGGTGTGGTGGTTCTTAGCACCTAGTCTGTGTACATTCTCTTGCTTCCTTCAGTGCTGTGCCTATGAATGACAAGTTTCAGGATTTTTTTTTATATATTTTTAAAGTTATTTTATTATATTTATTTGACATAGAGAGAGAGAGACAGAGAGAGAGAGAGAGAGACAGAGAGAGATCACAAGTAGGCAGAGAGGCAGGCAGAGGGGGAAGGGGAAGCAGGCTTCGCGCTGAGCAGAAAGCCTGATTCGGGGCTCGATCCCAGGACCCTGAGATCATGACCTGAGCTGAAGGCAGAGGCCCAACCCACTGAGACACCCAGGTGCCCCTGGGATTTGTTTTTACATTTATCAGTCTGTGGTCTTTTTCCCTTAAAGTCTAGCCATTGCTGGGTGCTCCATCACTCATCAAGGTGATACAAAAGATGGACTTTGAATAAGAAATGTAAGCCAAGCAGGTGTTTGACTTTTTTTTTTTTTTAGATTTTATTTATTTATTTGATTGAGAGAGAGATAGAGAAAGGGAGAAAGTGAGAGCACGAGGTGGAAGGTGAGGAGCAGAGGGAGAGGGACAAGGAGATTTTGTACCAAACTCAGAGCCTGACCTGGGACTTGATCTTAAGACCCTGAGATCATGACCTGAGCTGAAATCAAGAGTCAGATGCTCATCCCACTGAGTCACCCATGTACCCCAGGAGTTTGAGGTTTTAAGTGATATGCTGAGTAAGGCATTCTCAATCCATCTCTTTCTTCTTTCACATGCCATCTATCATCTTGGACCACAGTCTCTGAGTATCATCTACACTCCCCCCTCCCCCACAGTTAACATAGCCATGAGTCATAACCCTGAGTTTGGCACGAGAGTGAACCACCCCTTGATGTTGATGGCAGAGTTGGTCTGGACCCATATGATGATCTAAGTTCCTGAGGCAAAGTTAGACACTTTAACCAGTCTGTCACCATACTATGTAAAGCTAGGGTAACCAAAAAAGTGAAGACAAATCAGTAGTTTCTCTTTCCTCATGAGAAAGGCAACGGTACTGTATTCCTGCTCCTAATAGTAACACCTGGACCTAATGGTACACCTGTGAGGTATCTTTATTATCTGGTTGGATAAACTTCAATATCTTGAAAAAACACATTCAGGGGCGCCGGGGTGGCTAAGTGGGTTGGGCCGCTGCCTTCGGCTCAGGTCGGGATCTCACGGTCCTGGGATCGAGCCCCGCATCGGGCCTTCTGCTCAGCAGGGAGCTTGCTTTCCCCTCTCTCTCTGCCTGCCTCTCTGCCTACTTGTGATCTCTGTCTGTCAGGTAAATAAATAAAATCTTAAAAAAAAAAAAAGAAAAAACACATTCAGCACGATACTACATAAAATAAGGGATGATGATGAAGCAGGAAGATAATGATGTAACACTTCTAGTCAATGATAAAGTATAAGCTGAAATAATGGGGATCTAAAAACAGCCCTTAAATAGAACCATTTACATAAGAGAATTTGTGATTATAGGAGAGAAGAGCTCTCCACCAAAATTTAGTTCTGTGCTTTGCATGGTATAGGATCAACCTTGGGAGGAAATTTCCCGCCTAGGGGATTACATTTCCTGGTCCTCCTTGCATGAAGTTGTGGCCATGTTACTGTTTAGGCAAAGGAGCAGAAGTATTATTGCCTGAGCCAGAGTTTTAAGATATCAGTGTCTCTTTTAATCTCCTTGCCTCTGTCTGCCTGGATACAGGAGACTCCAGAGGCCTAGAAGTTGATAGAGTCACAAGATGAAAAGACCCTGGTTTTCTAATTCTCCACGTGGAGGAGAGTGTCTTACTCAGCAAGAACACTTTCACTGGATATAAGGGTTGTATTTTTTAAGAGCAAGTAGCATTGCCCTAACTAACACAGCTGGGGAGGCGAGTTGGAACAATGTATCAGTCAGGGTAAAGACCTTGCCTATATTTGTGTTTTGCCTTTGGTGGTCCAGATGATGTTGTATCCAGAAACTAATGTCCAGATGACCCGTCACTTGATATATAAGTGAAACTACATGATCCTCTTCCTTTGCCACTTTATTTACTAACAAGGATTTAAAAAAATGAAATGTTCTCCTTTGAACGTGCACCATCAAAGTTCTTCATCAATATCAATAGTAATCATAACTAGAAAATATAACTAAATAGAATAACGTATATAACTAATATAACTAAAATAGAGAATAGAAAAAAATACAACTAAAATAGAAAACATAACCAACAAGTCTGATTTCTTTTAGATTTATTTCTGTATGTGTCATATTCTCAATGTCATCGGTACTACCCTCTCACACCTAAGTGATCATCTGGCTTTCCCTAACACAGTTCTTTGATTTCATTGAGAACAGCCCTTTGTCAGATTTAGGTGGCATATGTGCTAATCATAGTTTAATTGGTCTCTCCTGTTCTGTGGTGGCACAGGTGTGATGCAAATAAAACATATATGTGCAATGGAGGTGATTGGAATTATGGTCAACTGACAGGAGGCATCAACCTTTCAGTGGTTGAATAGCTGGTTTATTGGATAAGACAGGACAATTACCACAACTGGCCTGTCAGGATGGTTAGAGCTCCCTATAGGCTTTGAGGCAGGTGTTTGTGCCTTCAGTTTAATCTCTTCCTTTCTAGTTCCAGGCTGCATGCAGCCCTTGGCACCGGCTGAAGCATTTATACAGAAACGTGGGTCACCTGGATGCCCAGCCCTGTGGATCTGGACGCTCATTACCAAACAAGGCATGAGCTCTCTGCAATGCAAGCTCGATTTCTCTGGGGAAAGGTAACCTGACTTGCAATCTTTTTTGGATCATCTGTGTGTTTAATTTAGTAGAATTGTGGAAATTGAGAATGTTTTTCATCAGCTCCAATGTACCTTCTAGAACCTATGCCATTCAATCTCTGATTTTGCAATTGAGGATTCAGGGTCTCAGGGAGGTTAAGTGGGTGCCCCAGGCACAGCCGATCATCAGGGAGCCAGGGCAAGGTTTTAGGTCTTCTCAGCCGGTGCTGATTACATGACCCGCAGCTGCTGCTTTGAGCCTGTTTTCATCACCTGTCAGCTCCTGTTTGTAGGAGTTGAAGCCTCAACAGCTTCTAGAGATTGGAGAAGTAAAACAGATCCAGAAGGAGTAGTTGTGAATAATTGTTTTCTTCTTTAATGCCTTTTTTTCTTCTGCAAGGATTTTTTTTTTATCTCGTCATAAAGTAGCTGTTATTCCACGCTGGTGGTCTTTCTGCTGGTCTTAAAGTTGTTTGAGACCTGTGACAATTCTGCCATATAGCTAAGTTCTAGTTCATATATTATGGTTGATCATTCCAGTTTTATTTCATGGAGAACATGTTTGGTAATATTATTCATACTTTTGGAGATAGCAAAAGTAGGCTTTAGGGCTATCTTACAACTTTCCCAAGGCCACCTGGGCAGTAACGGCAGAGCTGGGGTTGCATCTGAGACTGGCCTCTCCCAAACTGTGCTGTTGACTTCATGATACATAGTCCTGCAGAGTACTCAGCATTTCCGTAGTCGTTTAACTTACTCCCAGGAAGAAGATTCAGCCTTGGGAGAATCTGTTTTATCAGGATGAGAGATTTTCTCAAAACTCCTCTTTCAGGATTAAGATTCAGATGGAAATTTTCATATTCTTAGATCTTCTCAAAGAGCGTATATTCTGAACATTGTTTCAGTGACTGCTCTAGGCTCAAACTGGGAGTTAACAGAAATGGACCAGGGTAGTGGAAAGATCCAGAAGTCTAGGTGATGGTACCTCCTTCCTGAGAAATCTCTGTCAAGAAATCACTGTTAAGTTGTGTTAGATGTCAGTTCATTCTCTGGAAGTAACTTAGTTCCTTTGATTTTTTTTGGTAAAAATTCATCCTGGCTGACTTTTCCATATTTATCACTTTCCTTATAGAAATATAGTCCTTGCTACTTGGGTCATTTCTGTCAAAATTAAACAATTTCTAGGCTAGTAAAAAATATTGAGCATTACTGTCTTATGGACCAATTTATAAAACTGTCAGCTTTCTAGATGGTGTTTTTTTATTTGTGGATTTTTCTCAGAAAACCCCATGACTTGAGCAGTATTTTATTTTTTATTTTTTATACTTCATTACACACATTTTTACCCCCATGATATCCTGGTGATTGTGTACAATTCATCCATTTTCTCTTATTCTCATTGGAAAAAACAAAAGGGACAAAGGTGGGAGAATGGCTTGTTAAGAAAAGCCAAGTTCTGGGAGAAATTGGTAAGCACCATTCAATCACTGATTTAGGAAAAGTGCTTCTAAATCCTTGTTTGGATGGCAGAACTGAATGTGAAGGTTGGGAGGTATTCTGATCCAGATGGTTCTCTTGTTTCCTCGAAAATCTACATTTTCTTCTTTTCCTAAGGAAGAAGACAGAAAACAAGAGATAACAAAACTCGGGTTTGGGTTAGCTTCATGTTGAGCAATTACTCTATTCCACCGATGTTTCACATGTACTGCTGGTTAGCATATTTGAATATACAAATGAGCATTATCACTTAAATAAAAACGTGATCAGTTTCAAAGCTTGGGGTACATGTGCAAAAAACTATTGCCCTCGATAGGTGCTGAAGGCTGAAGATGACCTTGACAATGTTGTCCTTTCTGCCAGGAGCTCATTCAGTGCATAGGTGCATTCTTTCCATGTATCTATAAAGTCTGGACCATTTCTTTTTGTCCTTTTCTCCCCCTTTCTGCTTTCTTTTACAGTGTTATCCAACTCGTGTTCCATTTTCTTTTTCTTAATTTTTTTTTTTTTCAGTAGGTTCCACACCGAACGTGGTGCTTGAACTCATGACCCTGAGATCAAGAGTCACATGCTCTACTAGCTGAGCCAGCCAGGCACCCTCATTTTCAATGGTATAATTCTCTGCTCCTTGGTTGGCAGATATTTTTATGAACTAAATGGGTTTGTAATAGGACTATTAATAGGATGAATGGAGGTTTTAGATACTTGCCCAGAATCTGTCTTTACCCTTTGATTTAAGAACATTGGATTGTTAGTTTGATTGAAGGGAGGAGAGGCAAAATGATGAGGGTGTTGTTTTGCCTTTCTGCCTTATACAACAGAATGTGTTTGAGTTCACTGGTTAATGGGTCAATGGTCAGAAGTTGCTGTATTTTTTTTCCCCCCTAATGAGAGGCTTCAGGGATTCCATGCCCAGCAGTGGTACTTCATGCCTACATGTCAGAGTATGGCACAGAATAGAAGCGAGGGAAGTCTCTAAGCACTGTTGTGGCACCTTTGGAATTGGCATCTTGGAGAATTCTCTGGAGATGCCCTTGCATGGACATGGCCACTCACAGGGTGGATGTGGGCACCAGTCGAAGAAGGGAAGCCCAAAACACCTTGGCACAGAGAGGGAGAACATGGCAATTCTGTGTAAGCGCTGCAGTTGACGGATCAGCTCATGGACACGTGCGAGTCATTTCCTTGGTGGTGACAGTGCTTGGGGAGTATTTTAAGCACCTTAGACCCATTAAAATTTAGGAGTCAAGCAATTTGTTAATCTTGTGAGGGTAGAGTTGGTTATACTCAAGTGACATGTTAATTCACAAAGAACTGTGATGGTCTGAAGTTTTACCCTCTTGGCAAAGTAACAAGTCAGCCCATCACAGTTTCGTAGATGTTAGCTGAAAATGTGAGACTCCTGGGTGGAGACAAAAGACTTTATTATTTATAGCTCATCAGGCAGAGCACCAGGATCTTATTGGTTCCTGGAGACCCCACATCCAAGAGGATGATGCAGAGGACAGCTTAGGGAAATGTTATCCTTGCACTGGGCTTAGGTCACAGTTGAGGAATGCCAAGCTTAGGATAACCCCAATTGTTTAAAAGGGCTGTTGGGAAACCTGATTAACCTTTGCCTTAGAGGGAGACGTTCTTTCTTAAAGTGGTCAGGAAACAGATATGTTTTCTGACCCAGAGGAACACAGAGCTCACCTTCCAAGGCTGTTTGCTATTCAAACATCCATGACAAGATAGTCTAGGGAAAAAACTGTCAGTGCCTCTGCTCAGAAAACTTGCAGGAATGTGAGAGACTCATGAAGAGTTCTCCCCAAATAATATGTTTCAAAGATTCACATTTTTTATAATTTTTGAAGGTAGATAATGCCTGAAGTCAAAGGAATAAAACAAGAGGAATGTTTTGGGGGCATGCTAGTTTTTTGTCCCCCCCCCTTTTTAATAAGATTTTATTTATTTATTTGAGAGAGTGAGCAAGTGAAAGAGCATAAGCAGGGGGAGGAGCAGAGGGAGAAGGAGGCTCCCCACTGAGCAGGGAGCCGGACATGGGGCTCAATCCCAGGTTGGATCATGACCTGAGTCAAAGGCAGACGCCTAATGGGCTGAGCCACCCAGCACCCTGTTTTTGTTTCCTAAGTTATATCTACTGATGCTTTTCCTCCTGTGACCTGTAACTCGGACACATTTTCCAGGGAGATATCTCTTTTCTTGTTACCTAAACTCACCTGGCACAAGTGCTCAGGATCTGCCCACAGCACTAACAGGTTTCAGCATTGGAATGCAAAGGAGAGTCTTCAGATTAAATATACCAGTGTCCATTAAAGAGTAGCGACAGGGACCAGAAGATATTTTACCTGTCACTGTATAATATGCTAGATCGTTTCAGCCGACTAACTGGAGAATAAGGAAAAGTCTGCATGTCAGTGAGTGACTGTATGTGATGTGTGTGTGAGGAGGAGATGGAAGAAAGGAGAGGTGGAGAGGGGGAGAGGAGAAAAGAGATGGAGAGGGAGACGGGTATAGATTGCAGCCTGTATGCAGAAAGAGTTTGTGCACTTGTGTGTTCCGACACCACTGGGCTAGTGTAGTTCACGAGAAAGGCTCGTAAAGCTCTTAAACTTATTCTTTCATACTTTCAAGACCTGCAAATGCTAACCCATGCATTTTGTATGGTGATTTTCTTTGGTAAACATGAAATTAGCCTTAGAAACACCTCCTCTTAATTCAGATATCGTTTAAGTCAAGGGCTTAGAATTACAAAGTCTGAAAGATTTTGTAAGTAGGAGGGGAAAAGAAGTCAGTGTTTAAATTAAGTATTTGAAAACAAAGTGAAAAAGGGAACATGATATATAGTTTATAGGAAAAGCCGTTTGGAAAGCTTTTTCATAGCGAATTTGTTGGGAATTCTTTGGCTAAGGTGGAATAAATGTATTCTAGGAGAAGCTCTACTGAGCCCAGTGTGATAGTAGCTTAATCTGACCGTGGCCATGTCTCACAGATCACTGTACCTAGTCAATACTCTATTATTGCAAGTTAAGTGGTTTGCTACAGTATTCCACGCTCAGGGTATTAGAACTCTGTTCCCTAATTTCCCAAGCAATAATGGTATAAGCAGTATGCATTTTTTATTATAAAAACTAACAATTGCCTCCACAGAATTAACAGTGTTTTACATACCATTGGTACCCAGGAGATTCAGTCTTAAATCAGAGCAAAATTAAATGTAAAATGTATGAAATTTTGGCAGAATTAGGTTTTCTTTGTAGAGGCTGAAGTCTTCAGTTTTGCTTGGAATCAAACTTTGGTTTTCTTCCTGGTGCTTTTATTTTCATTTTATTTAAATGGGTGTGTTGTTTCCTGATTAAAATTGATTCTGAATAATTATAACAACAGTAATTCACAGCAGGAGCCTGGGCAGCCTTCTTTCTAGCTCCTGGAGGCTGTCATCATCCAGCCTCTCTGTGCTTGCCAGTTTTTCAGCGTTAACTATATTCACTGTGCAACAG